ATTTCTCCAGTTTTTCCACCTTGATTTTCATTGTGTTGTGGATTTCTCTACTATCTCACCATTATGTGATATCCTTTTGTGAAACACCTGTCTTACTCGCTTTCAATTAAATAAAAGAGTCCAAAGGTTTGAACTGTGCGGTGGTTTTTTATGCTTTCCGACAGACTCAGAGAACGAAAACTTGGCAGTTTCAATGTAAAACTGGTCACTTCCACAACTTATCTCAAAGTAAATGTTTTTGTTTCGGTACTCTGAGAGATTGGTTTTGGCAGTACTCTTCTATGGGGAAGGGTAGGGATCGGTTTCTTTCACGCTCAGTCCCAGATATTTTGAAATCTTTTATGTGCATATATTTCCCATTAAAAAAAAATAATCACTGATTAGAAATTCTGTGTCCAGCAGCATCAGAACAAACACCTGCAGCAGTCTTCCTCCTGACAACCATATCACAGAGAGACGGGTCTTGGTTTTACACTCAGACAATTGCTCCAACAGGCAGGAAAGCTGCCCTGGCTGTGTTTGGCCAGCGTCATTCTCGATGCTTGTCCCCTCACCTGCCATCAGACCTGAGAAGTACCAAGCACCTTCATCGGGTACCTGAGAGGGGCAAAATCATCCATCCTGGAGTGCAGAGGCGCTTAAAGCAGAGTCATGTAGAAGGTTGCTGTGGGGTGGGGAGCTGGTGTACCAAACGCTGGGAAGTTTACAGGGCTTTCGTCAGCCCTGAAAATAGATTTTTTTTGGTGCTAATTCTAGCACCTTCCCGCCCTGAAATCCTGAAACAAAGGAGTGTAACATTAATTGTGAAAAAAAGGAGGAATAGTTCAGAAAGTACAAAAAAAGCCCCAGGGAAGCGCACTGTACGACCCCCCAGCAGTCCTAGCGGCGTGTGCTGGGCTGCTGCAGTTCCTACAGAGGCATTTTCTTTCTGTGGAGGTGGTGAGGTTCCCCTTGGGAGGCTCAGGCAAGCCCAGAGAAAATTAATGGTGAAAAGCACTCTCTTTTCCCTGCTGGAATGCCTCATAGTCGACCGCGAGAGCCCATTAAGAAACTGCTGTGACCTAAAATAACCTGACTAAAACTAAAACTGTGAACAGGCTGTCCGAACTGTATGTTTTTGTTTTTGTTTTTTTTTTCCTTTTTACCTTTGCTTTTAAGCTTCTCTGGGAGAGCTTTCCAGCCTACTCAGGAAAATGGTGTACTGGTGGAGTTTTCAGCTGCCTTTCCAGCTGCCCCCTTTATTCTGCCTCTTTGCTGTTCACGTCTTCAGAAAAAAAATTATTCCCCCCCCCAAAAACCCAAGCTCAACCAACCAACAAAACCCCCTTCATACATACGTGCTTGTGCAGGCAAAGGATGTTGTACATCAAAGGCTGAGGACATTTACCTCAAATTACTTAATGCAAGGAATTAGGTAGAGACCTATTGCCATTTACCACCTGCAAGCCGGGGTAGGCATCGTCCCTCTAGCTGGCTGGGAAAGTGGGAAACCTGGTTGCACAAGGCTCCTCTAGACTCTGTCTGTCCCAAGTAGTAGCTCAGGCTTGCTTTTGTTTGTTTTTGTTTCAACTATGTTATTTGGTGTAATAATACCTCACCTTGCTTATAACTCCTAAATCCTCTTAGCTATGGTGACATTGCGATGGAGCTCACCTGGTTAAAAAAATAATTGACCAAAAGACAAACTTTTAAATGGCCAAAATTTCTTTGGTTGTCAATAGGAAAAGCAAACTCCGACCTAAAAACAAGGAGAGGGAAAAACTGTACTGAGTTTAATGTAATTGTATTAATCAGGCAATTTAAGTGAAACAGTAATGGAATAAAGGAGGATAAAAGGATTCTTAGGAAAGGCAGGAGTGAGGGAGTTGCTAACTCATTTGAGATAAAAAGAGAGAGTTAATTACTGTCTGTGAATCATTAAAGGGTTAGCTGAGGTTGAGGCACGGGGAAAAGTATGATGTAAAAAAGAATGAGTCTCTCTAAGGAGGTACGATTTTTAGTAGACAGAAGACAGGGAAGAATTTTAGCTCTTAGATTCATCTTTTGAAGTCTCCTATCACCCTCAGGACTAAGATGGAGTCACAGTTTTGTGCAATATGTGCTTGCATTGATACCTTGATATTCCAGTACTTTAGGGCTTGTCTTTTGAGATTTCACACTGATGCCAACTGTTGTTTTCACTTACGTGAATATTTTCCAAGAAGGCATTTGGTGCAATGGAAGAAATATGTCACATGCCAGGATGCAGACATATAGGGTGCATGGATTTTGATGGTTCTCTTACAGGGAAGTGTTTTAAATGGTGCTGGTAGGGACACATCAGCATGTTTTCTCTCATCTTTGTCCTGTGGACCAATGCATCCTGCAGAGACTTGACCGCTCCCAGGTATATTGATCCGAAAAAAGAGATTAATTATACCTCCAGACCTTGATGAGGCAACAGTAGGACAGGCACTTCTTAAAGCTTCTGTTACATGGTTAACTAGCTCTATTGCTCCAGTGCTGTTTGGAAAATCGAAAGCCAATAAAACCCCCAAGCCAAGGGGACTGTACACATGTTTACAGGTATGCATAGTGAAGAGCTGGCTGGATCCAGGGCACAGAGCCAGGCACCCTGCAGATTTAAGCCTCCGTGTGTTAAGCAACAGCCTGGTTCCACTCTGATTTTAACCAGCAGGAGACTTGCCATGAATTTCTTTGAATATGGGTGCCCCAAAGGTGTCTTTACTTCGTAAGGAGGATGAATATTACCAGGCATATTGAATACAGATGAGGAGGAATTCTTGTTAAATCAAGGACCGCTGTCACTTTCCAGATTGTCAGCCAAATGTAGATTTAGGGAGATACTGGAATATTTCCACTATCAGCTGTCACTGGGAGTTTAAAATGTGAATATTTCCTCCTTTCATCGCACAATCATTCTTGTCTGTCACTGATGGCAAGTTTTGGTGGGGAGCACTGCCACAGGACCCTCCATCCCTGTGCTCGAGGGCAGCCAAGAGCCATGGGAATAAATGAACCAAGTCTTGATTTTGCCCAAAAAGCTTTTCACCTTTTTTTCAAAGGACAAAAAGGAAGTTTGAATGGAAGATGAAAGTGGTCTGAGACTCAAAAGTCCTGAATGCTACTGAGAAAATAATTTTTATTTGTAAATGTAGTACTAACGCCCCATCCAGCTCAGGCTGAGCACACCAGAAAGAGTCTTGTGGGAATCAAAAAGAACTGAATAGTCCCAAAATGAAATAATTGGTAAAAGCTTAGTTTTCTATGGTGTTTTTCAATGGGAAATAGTAAAAGAAATTTCTTTCTGCGTGTTTAAATCATGTTCTTACTAACAAAATGTTTCTCTATGGAAAAAAAACCAACACAACAAACCAAACTCTCCTCCTCTGGAGATATTCAAAACCCGCCTGGATGTGATCCTGTGCAACCTCCTGTGGGTGAACCTGCTTTAGCAGGGGGTTTGGACCAGATGTTCTCCAGAGGTCCCTTCCAACTCTTACCATTCTGTGATTCTGTGAAAGCAAATGAGTAACTTAATCTTTTTTCAACAGAGTTTTTTCATTCTGTTTGAAAATACTGCATGGGTAATTCTTAATTTTTATTTTAAATTTTTTTTTACAGATGCAAAAGGCTGGGTGTTGTTCGGGTTTTTTGTTTGCTTTGGGATTTTTTTTCAATGCTGTCTTTTTTTTTCTTCCTTCATGTGGTTTATCGCCGTATTGGTCAAATAGGCAGACTAGGTAGGAAATGATTCCTTATCTGAGTGACATCTCAGCACTCCTCTGTAGGTCTGTAAGAAGTACATACCTCAAGGATGTCTTCACTTGCCGCCTTCTGTAGGATTTTCCAGAACTTTTGCACTTGGGCTTGACAGATCTAAGGATGCAAGTGCAACTTGATTCATTTAAAGACATTTAAGTACTTTGCTAACTTAGCGCCCTTGTAACAGCGTAATTACATTAATAATAATAATGAAGCAATTATACATAACTGCATTTTGCTATTTTAAAACAACTCGAATTGAGCATGGTACAGAAATGTTTGAATTAGCAGTGCCTACAGTGTCATCAGCCAGGGAAAATGCAGGAGGTTCTCAGCTTGCTTAAGCGTACCAAGTTTTATTGCTTTCAGACCCCAGTTAATATTTCCAGCCAGCGCTGAACAGCATGTTCATGTTAGCACTAATCTGGGATGCTCTGCACCATGTTCTCTTGGTCAGGGCACACAAAGGTAACCAGAACACACATGAGGAGGCACTTAGCAAGGTGGCTCAAATATTGTTGTGTAAAACCCACCAACTGTAGTTTTCAATCATTTATGCTTTGTATAAAACAAGGAATATGACATCTTGCGTAACCAAAAGATGCAACAAAGTAATACGAGCTGACAGCTCCACCGTAAAAAGGTATTTTCCTGTGAAGAAAGCAGCGTTGATCTTAGACCTGGAATAACTTTTTCCTCCCCTTTCCCCTATTATGGGAAAAGCTGGTCTTTTTTTCCCCAGTCCTTACGTAAGCAACTAATTCCTATGAGTGCTGCTCCCAAATGGACTAAAGATCCATTCCTGGGGAGTAAGTAAAGTAACATCAACAAATTTCTTCTGATTCAAAAAATACTGAAGCCAAATGAAAGCCTCCCAGTGGCAGATGAAGCGAATGCAGAGTCCCAGGTTAGTTTGATTCAGAGCCCTTGGGACCTGAGCTGTTCTGGCTCTCTGTCTCATAGTGGCAAAAAAGCTGTGGGTAAGTGAACCCCAACTTTTTTCCAAAGGTATGACCCCCGCTTTCCTTTTCTGCCCAAGGTAATAGAAGACATTGTTCAAAGTACAGTACTGACATGGCTATCACATTTAGGGAAAACAAAGTACAGCAGAAGGCAATGGAAGCAGACATCACAAATAAAGGCAGAAGACCCTTTTATTTCGCATAGACAAAATGCAAAGAGTGTCTCATTAAATTAATATTAAAAAAAAAACCCCAAATCAATCCCTTCACTCGACTGACATCACTCATCCTAATTAACAACAAAAAAAAGAACAATCAAGGACCCATTTTCTAATTAAAAAAAAAAAAGTGCAAACATGACAAAAGACTTCTTGTTTTTCCAAATCAATGTTCCTGTTGAACTCACAAATAGGGTGATTTTTTTTTTTTGTGATTTTTTCCCTTTTAAATCTTGTCTGATGGAAGTTCCAGTTAAAATGTTTTAGTTAAGTCTCCATGCACTTCGTAGAAAATCAGTAAAAACACAAACGCTTGTGAAGATCAGAAAACTGGACTCTTTTACCCAAAAATTCAGATGTCCAGTCAGATGAAGCTCACACTCAGACAGAAAAAAAGCAAGAGAGTCTTTGCACTGTCTGTTGTTTATATTATTATTTTTTTTTGTCAAATATTTTGGCAATCTTCTTCTTTAATTATAAATATTGGAATTCAATAAAAAAAAGGTAGCTTTCATTGGAATTCTTTTTCAGTGTAAATATTTACAGCCACTGTCCAGCCATGCTCTTTTTGTTATACCAGGGTGTAAGATTTTGCGTAGGGATTGTTTCCTTTCAAGTGGCCCCGGGAGTCCAGCAGGGATTCTTGGGAGCTGCTCATTTTTGCTGCCTGTCCTAGCTCAGCTCCTTCTCGCTGAGGTAACGTTGCCACAGCACCAGGTTGCCATGACTGTACTTCTCTTGTGGAGGATGTCTCCATGGGTATCGGCTCCAGGACGGTGGGGCGCTTCAAGGTTCGGCTTTTCTGTGGCTCCAAGCAGGCTTGCCCCAAACCCAGGTCTCTGCTCGTGCCCTGCACGCCACGGTTCAATAAAAAGTCCATCCTAAGGTAGGGTGGCAAATGCATGAGATCACCTGGGGAGGCAAAAGTAAAAAACAAGGCCTTACTTAGGGCCACGCATGGTGTTACGCTCACCTAACGGCAAGGGGAGTCAAGCTGATGGATTTGGCCATAAAACCAGAGTACGTGTCATTAATCCAGCTGCGGCATTTATAATTGACATATTGTTTGTCAGCCTTTTGGGCAGTTCCGTAAGTATTCACTATTAATATTTTTTTTCATAGTAGAATGACTATAATGAGAAATGCAATGTGTTTTACGTGTGCTCACAGCATGAAGAAGATAAACTGAAAAGATCAGGAAGTTTTTCCCAAAATCCTGAAAGAAAAGGTCTTGGTTTTCATTTGTCAACACTTGGAAAATATGGAGGCTCAGTAGATTTCCTTTCTTATTTTCCATTTTAATGAAAACCTTCACAGTTGCAATTAATTACCCCCAATCTGCAGTAGAATGACCAAATTATTTTAAATGGATGCATGAGTGTTAAGGCTATAATTTTAAAGAGATTTCTGAATAAAAGAGAAAAGCATTCTTGTCCCAATATAATGACATTTATCGGCCATCCATCATCACTGTGTTTAAACCACTAATGATTTTCTACTACTGTGGCCATCAACATGCTGCTGCTTTGTGGCAAAAAAACACGTTAAGGCTGGCACCCCAGATCTTTTATCAACCTTCCTTTCTGTTCTGTATTGTCAAGAAAACCTTACTCATTATTTCCCCTAATTCCTGAGCATTTCTATGTGAGTCTGGTGATTGTAGCCTGCTCAGTCCAAATCTACTGAGTTCAAACAGGTGCCTTGGACCTGCTGTCTGGAGTTAGGCAGGGTGAATGTTACCTTCCACATATCTATACATGTATTAGACCTGTTACAGAAATCAGATTGGCTTATTTATTCTAGCCCTGCATGTTAGGCATTCATAAAGATGCTTCAAGGAAATGAGAGGCAATCAAGCATATAATGACATTCCCTTCTAAAAATATTTAATGGTGTAACTTCACGTATGTATGAAAAAAGCACTTACAGGTGCATTTGAGAGCAGTATTTCCCCTTCTGTTACAGATCTCTGCAGGTATATAGCTTCCTTTTTATGGCTGATATTAAAACCATAGACTCATCTACAGATGGGATGCGTTCTGAATGTTTGAAGTAGAAGACTCCTGGCACTACTACACCTGTGTCTACAAGAGCTATTTACAGCAGCAGAAATTGAGGCTGACCTGTGCAAGTGGCATAAACAGTAAACCAGGAAAGCAGTTCTTCATAATAAAACAGTGTATAACAAATTCATTTTTCCTAATTATGCTAAAAGTTGTCCAATGATCGAAAATAAAACAGGTCCTTTGCTTCTCATATAAGTTAAAGCATTGCAAATCTCACCTAAAAGACTAACAGCATCTGCTCTGTCCATAATTTCAGATCACAGACAGAGAATTGCCGAGAAGTTATATTTGGACAGAACCACTGTGTATTCCTGTAGAAATCCCCCAGGCACTGTCTTGACTCCATATGTTTTATTCTAGCTGCATCTCCAACAGAGATGCACGATACACAGAATTTAACCTCCATAGAGTAAAATGTGCCTATCTCAAGATTAGGCTGACATACACCACAGGAACATTTATAGAAGGCTGGAGAGAGAGGGGGAGATTTGTGCTTATAATCATACTGATTGCCACTTGAGAAATTAATTGTGGTAATATTAATTGGTTTTAATAATTACCTTATTTTCCTGTAGTATCTTTCATGTCAAACACATTCGGTATATGAGACCTATTTCACGTGAGATAGAAATGTGCCTGCTGCTGGGGTAAAGTACATCAGGATACAGACACAAGAACCGGCAGGCACAGGCAGGTGCTGACTCACTGATAGAATGGTTTGGGTTGGAAGGGACCTTAAAGACCATCTCGTTCCAACCCCCCTGCCATGGGCAGAGACACCTTCCACTACATCAGCCCCCCACCCAGCCTGGCCTTGAACACTGCCAGGGAGGGGGCGGCCACAGCTTCCTGGGCAACCTCTTCCAGTGCCTCACCACCGTCACAGGAAAGAATTTCTTCCTAATATCTAATCTAAATCTCCCCTCTTTCAGTTTCAAACTGTTACCACTTGTCCTATCACTACATGCCCTTGTAAAAAGTCCCTCTCCACCTTTCCTGTAGACCCCCTTTAAGCACTGGAAGACCGCTGTAAGGTCTCTCTTCTCCAGGCTGAATAACCTCAACTCTCAGCCTGTCCTCACAGAGGAGGTGCTGCAGCCCCCTGATCATCTTCGTGGCCCTCCTCTGGACCCACTTGAGCAGCTCCATGTCTTTCTCATGCTGGGGGCCCCAGAGCTGAACACAGCACTGCAGGTGGGATCTCACCAGAGCACAGCAGAGGAGGAGAATCACCTCCCTAGACCTGCTGGCCACGCTTCTCTTGATGCAGCCCAGGATGCGATTGGCTTTGTGGGCCGTGAGCCCGCACTGCTGGATCATATTCAGCTTTTCATCCACCCACACCCCAAGTCCTTCTCCGCAAGGCTGCTCTTGATCTACTCATTGCCCAGCCTGTATCAGTGCTTAGGATTGCCCTGACCCCGTGCAGGACCTTGCACTTGGCCTTGTTGAATTCATGATGTTCTCACAGGCCCGCCTCCCAACCTGTCGAGAGAGAGGCTCTACTTAACTAGAGGCATCGAACTGAGCAGCCCACGACTATGTCCATGCTGCCCAACAGCTTTGCTGACGTGTTGGCACTGAGACCCTGATCCCTTGGCCACCCACACTGCATCCCAGTTATTTTGCTTCTGGTTCCCTTTTGGACTGAGTCCTTCCAAAATGCAGTTGTGGGGGCAGTTTGCTCCACTGACCATTCCCCGTGGGCTGCAGGGAGGAGATGGCCTGGATGGGAAACGCTTATATTGCTTGCTCCCTGTGGCTGTATCTTTTGCAGCATCACAGTATCCTAAATCAGGAGCCTTATTGCTACCCACTCCTCCCCAGTGGGGGAGAAAGACAAGAGTGTAGAGGCGAGTGATGCTGCCCCCGCAAACCTGTCTCTACCCACTAATGACGGTGGTGAGGGCCTTCGCTTGGCTGCCTCAGACGTGGGTTATCACTGTCAGGGCCCCAGCGAAGGCAGGCAGCAAAGGCACACCTCTAAGATGTCAACAGTAGGCGTGAAAACTTTGTGACTAACTATAATACCAAAGTAATACCCTCCCTTTTGTCAGGGATATTCAGAGGCTGCTGGGTCAGAATGCAGGGTTTTTCTCTTGCTACCTCAACCTCGGCAGAAGAAAACCAATTTTCTGCAACACCAGGCCTTTTCCTGAAGATGTCTATTGCCCTAACACTGACTGTGATGGGCTGCTTCCAGGCGGCACAATGCCCGATGCTTTATTAAGATCAGCCAGGTCATTTCACATGCATTCCCTCTTACTACTGCATTTTCAGTTTTATGGTTGGCTTTGCAGGAAGGAGCTTGTGTGGACCAGAAGCCAGAGCATGGCTCATTGGCAGACCCCTGCGGTCACATCCGAGAGCTGCTTCTGCACCTTAAGACATCGCTACTTCTTGAGAGCAACAGATATGCGCGGACTATAAAAAAGATGAGTTGAACCTTACAGAGATGAAGGCTGGTTTTCAAGCTGCTGTCTAGACATTTCTCACGTGTATTGAAGAGCTTCAGGCTATGTAAAAAAGACCTATTTTTTTCCTCCCTAAATCTACATAAGAAAGCATAGTCAATAGTCTGTGTAAACAATGTGCAGTCATTTTACTGTAATTTTCTAAATGTCTGGGGGCAAACTTCCAATAGGATTGCAGTAATGAGAAACCAGAGAGTGTAACTTGTTCTCCAAAGCTGGATACTCAACACACACTCTCTGACATGCCTTATACAGAGCACTCATTATTTGATATGATGTACACATTTTCCTATCATAAGAAGTGCCAGTGCCCCTTCTTATCTGCAAGAAGCATTTTTCCCTGCAACTGCTTATAAAACAAAGCAGAGTATTAAAATAATTGGAAAGGAAAAATTTTGAGAATGGAACATTTTCTTCTTTGCTAGGATTGAAACGGTCTCATGGGATGAAAAAAAAAGTCTTTGATTTATAAGAACTAATGCATTTCTGATTTAAAAACACAGACTTTGAAAGATAAACACAGGGGTTCACTTTTGCCATTCCTACATCAATACTGAAGGTATTTTTGGGAAGATTAAAGGCCTCTTGCCACATCTACGGAGTTACTTGGAAAGACTGGTTCCAATCCTTCTGGACACAACAGTATAGACATTTTTACGGTTTCTTGCTATTCAGCTGAATGATGATTTTTTTCAGGCAAAGCATTATGAAGTTTCAGGATGGTTCATTGCCTTTGATGCTCTAATTACCTCTTTTCAGCTGTGTGTGTGCCTTGCTAGTAATGAAAGCAAACCTTTCAAGTGCATGAGCACTGCAAATGAGCATGTTTAATAATTCATGCATTTCGGCTTAATTAGTGTGAAAGATATTCTAAATCTATAGTTTTCTGATGCATTTTTAAAAAAGGGAAACTTGCTGTATTTAGAAACACTGAGTTTGTACACAAATAATAAACATCCAATCAAATCTGAATTTCTGACTGCGGCAATTTAAGCTACCTCAGTCTTTTTTTGTTCTAGCCAGCCAACCTTCTAATTAATTATTGAGTAGAATACATTTAAGAAAATGTTGGCTTCAAGAAATATCTGTAAACAAATGCTAAAACTCACTTACTATGATATTTACCATAAGCAACTCATTCTACCACAAAAGGGAGTATTTTCTGAGTTAATACAGCACTAGGTGAAAATTATTTACCCTCACTTTAGTACAACAAAACTGATATGAAACATTTTGCAAAAACATTAGCTATTTTTATCCTTCTTCTGGAGGTCAGATTCAGGTATTGGAAGGGTCAGGATGAATTTGACAGGCTACATGGAGGGAAAAATATCGCTTCTCATCTCTTCCGAGATTTTATTCAAGACAGCTA